ACGGCCAAAAATAAAACACATCAGCCTTCAGAACAAAAGATCAGGCTGCAAAATGAGACCCTGGCCTGCCCCTCGATGTCTGCCATCGGCACGGGCCACTCGTCCATGTGCCCAGGTGCTCGGTTGGGCGGAAACCCCCGCACAAACAGCTTCTGACCTTTGACCGAATTATGCATGACATGACTACAGCTCCCATGGCAAGGGATCGAGGTATCGGCAACACGAAAGGTGCACAGCATGCGTGGGGCAGCCGTAGCGCCGTAGGGGGATCTTGTGTTTGTTCACTGTCCTACCGCCAGTGGCCTGAAAACTCTAGCCGCTAGCCTGTGATTGAAGGAACTTGGCGATTAAGCCACAATGGAAGCGAACCGACAGCTCTGTTGGTGCTAAACTGTCTTTGCTCAAGCACGGAGGCCATAACATGCACAAGCTGCGTCAAAAGGCATGGGCAGTTGAAAGCATTTTACGACTAGAACCCTGCGGGTGCCAGTGTCAGCACCGCCAAATCCCTTGCCTGTTCCCCCACCCCTTTTGGTTTAGAATTTGAACTGAAAACCAACCCAAATCTAGCCTTTAGGATTTAGGCTTTGCTTGGGGTTTAGGGTTTTCACGCAAGCCCAACCGAAGTTTAAGGTTTGTTAGCCCGCAATGCAGGAGGGGGCGAGGGGTACAAGCAAAGGAAATCTGGGGGGTACCCCGCAAGACGAACAATCGCAATTACACTACGGCTGTACAATGCACACGGATCACTTCTTGGACTCACTGTGCCCTTGCAGCGCTTCACTTTGCTCATTGCCTGCCGATGTTTGCCCAGCTTCCTCCGCGGCAGTGGCAAACAACTCAAAGGTAAATGTTCCATCTCCTATTATCATTTCTATGAGGGCCTTTATTATGTAGGGCCATGGGGGTCCCATTAAAGCGTGAATTAATTTTACGCATACCGTGGCATCCCCAAACTCTGGTGCACCTGCCGCAGTATTCTTCTCCTTGTTTTTCACGTACGCCCCATATAAATCGTGATTGATTTTTTTTTAGCATGCTCTAGCATCCTAGCTCCTGTGCTGTAGCAGATGGATAGGTAGTTTTTCTCTTAGATTTACTACTGGATATTGCATTCCATCTGGGCTAAAGTGTTTATAAGATCTCCTATTCAAACTGTGCCAAATTAAAATTGTATGGTCTTCTTCTGTATAGTGTTGGATCCGCTACGAACTCCGGGCCAAAGTGTAGGAACTTGTATTACATCTGGGCCGAGCTGTAAGAGCTTCTGTTAAATCTGGATCAAATTTCAGGAGTGCCTTCTCTATCGTCGACCATGGGATTGCCATTGAATCGTGATTTAACTGTTTTACCGCAGCAACTGCCGCCGCAACAAAAGCAACAGCAGGGTCAGCGACATCACATCATGACATATTCCGGTCAGTAGTGGCAAGGGGGATGTTTCGGTCGGTGGCCTGGTTCTAGTGTACAGGACGCGCGCAGCGCTGGCAGCAGCCGCTGCAACAATTGCATCAGCAGAGTTAGCAGTTTTGACAGTTGTTGAGAATGATAAAGACAATGATAGTAAGGATAATGATAACAGTAATCAGCAACCACAATAACAACAAAGATAGTAGCAGTAATGATGATTTCAATACTAGCATGAAATTGTAACATGAATCATCGCAACCCAAGTTCGGCTTTTGGAGTGCAGGCTTTGGGGTTGAGGATTTTGGGTACCAGTGTTTGGGGTATGGGTTGTCGAGTTTGGAGTTTGTGGCTATTAGTATTGTCTAGTTGCTACTGTTCTGTGGTTGTTATTGTTTGCGGATTCTTGCTGCTATTGCATTTTCGTTGTCATCTTCGCTGTCGGATTATTGATGCACGCTTATTCTTACTGGGCAAGCTGTGGATATCTCAACCGGAGCTGGTCTCAATGCTCAGTGGCAGTTCTCAGGGCATCTGATAAGGTAACGGACAACACTCTAGCGAAGCAACGCCGTGCAGAGCAGAAGTGGTGTCAGACTAGAAGCCTAGATGCCGTTGTGATAAGCCAGACAAAGCAGGCGGCGTACAACACCCTATGTAGGCCCGCTATCCTTTCCCTGATTGTATCTGGAAGCGTCAGTCTTGAGGCATCACTGGCGGAAGATGGCAAAGTGAGATATGAACAGCAAACTCTGCATGTACGCAAGTCGATGCAAAATCACACTGAATATGGAGTATTGTTATTATGGGGGTGTCGTAGGCAGGCTTCCAAAGAAATGAAATCATGATTTTATTGTTTTCTTGCTAGGTGCGCAGCAGGATGTGTAGGAAGTTGGTTTTGCAGCATCAGGGTATGAAAGCAATTTGAAAATTGGTTTAATTGCCCACGGCAATAGAAAGTCAAGCATTGCATTAAGTGTGACGCGACGATTCGATCGCAATTCGATCAATTCCAACTGTTTTGGGCGGGGGTCGGGGGTCGCCGAGGTCCCGAACGCAAGCACGTAAAGCTGGATTCAATTTTCTTTAGATCTCGGAGCCACTGTCTTACAAGTCGCGTCTAGGGGCCTTGGCCAAAAGGCTCGAGCGGCAATTTTTTGTTGTCAGCGCCGCTCTCGCCAGTTTAGGCTTTTAGGCTTTAGGGTTTAATGTGTAGGGTTTCGGGTTGAAGGCTTTAGGTTTAGGGTTTGGTTTTCAGGGCTTAAGGTTTGGGGTTCAGCGTCTAGGGTTTGGGGTTAAGGCTTATGGTTGAGGGTTGGATTTATGGTTTAGGGTCCAGCCGGCGGTTTGGTTGCTTGGGGTTTAAGTTTAGGTTCCAATGTTTTGGCTGTAGGATTCAAGGTTTACGGTTTAGGGCTTTAAGGTTTTAGGTTTTCTTTTTGGGTTTAGGATTTCCACCTTTTATGTTGAAGAGTTTAGTGTGTGAGGGCCTGCTTATTTCAGCTTTGGTTAGGCTAGGTTTGGCTGTGCTTTTTTTGCGCACTCTGTTCCTTTCCTGCTTTTCTGCTTCCGCGCCCCTAAACCAAAAAACCTTAAACCCTAAACCCTTAACCCTATAAAACCTCAAATGCTAAACCCCAAACCCTGAAACCCTGAAACACTGAAAACCTTCAGAACTGGCATGGGATGAAAGCTGAATGGTTTAGGTCCGTTGGTCATGGCTCAGTCAGTTTCCAAGGGTGCTTCTTGCTTTCGCTCGATCTGAGCGGATCTTTGCCGCTTGGCGGAAAAAGAGCGCTTCAAAAACACCCTGAACACCTAGACTCTAAAACCCTAAACCCAAAGCACAAAACCTCAAAAACCTAAACTATATAAGACTCAAAAGCTTAAAGCCTAAACCTAATGAACTCAAAACCCTAAATGTAGCTAATTACACGCCTTGTCCATCGGCCAGCTCAACCTCCGCCGCTTCTGCTTCTCTTCATCGCCGGCCCTGTGCGGGCGAAGACACTGTCAAGCACCGGGATGGACTTATCTTAAACCCTTGCACAGCTGGGTGCCGCGCAGGGTGATCGGGCTGAGGGGGTCTTCGCAGCCCAAGTACTGCGGATAGAAACGTTCGGAAGGAGTGTCATCGAAGACCTCGACAAACATGAAATCAAGATTGTGGCAAGCTAAACGTTCTCGGTTGCACAGACAACATGGCCCACGCGAGCGGCCTTGTCGGCTTCAGCTGCATGCCCAGCTGCGTGCCCAGCTGCATGCCCGGCTCCTTGTTCAGCTGCCTGCGCTTCTTCTAGCGCCTGTAGCCGCTCAAGATCCTGCTTGCGGCTTTTTTTCGTGGCGACGCCCACATGTGACTCTGCCTTCATGGCGTCGCAGGCAAAGTGAGCACTTGAACCAAAATGATTGCTTTAGTTCGAAACTCAAATTGCACACCCCTGCAGCAATCCCAGAATGCAAGTTGCACAAGCTGGGGTCTATACATCAGGAATGTCAAAGTGCTGCAAATGGCGGAGTTTCGCTTGGTAGGATCTGCTGCAAGTTTGGGCTTCGCCTGTGCTTCATCTGAAACTTCGTACTATGGTGCTGCAGACTGCAGAACTAAACCAGTTTGACCCACTGATCTTGCGGACAAGCCCTTGGCGCCATGGCGAATGGTGTCGCGACCTCGCTCATCTCGATGGACGACACCCTTCAAAGGAGATCAGGCGCTGAGCACGGTCCAAAAGTCTGGACTTTTAAACGATTGCGTACGGAGCAACCAGGGGCACCAGCTACTTCAAACATCATGCATGATTAGGACCCTGATGAAACAGTCTTGTGGCTTCGTATCTGAGGGCAAGGTTGTTTAACCCTGCTGCACCGCTGGGTCAAAGACTGCGAAGATGTCCGGCCTTTGAAGCACAGGTACACTGAGGCCTACTCTGAAGCATTCTGTTGAATCAACTTACATGGTGTTGGTAAAGACTTTACAAGTCATGGGACCAATAGTGGCGGTGGTGGTTGTCGTAGTCGTCGTCGCGGCTCCCGGTCGTCGAAGAAGCAACACCAACACACGTGCAATAGTCATTGACAAGGCAGGAAAGCTCGGCCGGAAGGGCTGCAGAAACGTTGTTGTTGCTGTGGTTGTTGTTGCCCGCCACCCCCCAACAATGCTTGTTGCCGGTGGAAAGCTTGAAAAATGGGTTCACAGCCACGGTTAAACGTCATGAGCAAGCCGGGCAGTCTAACTGAATGCCCGTCTGACGTGCTGATGATTCCCTACTCCTGTGTACTTAGTCAACCATGGCTTTGTGCTTCAAACTGTTTCATGGATAGATTATGCTTTCACGGAAGACTGCCGCCTTTTGGGCATCTGCACACTTCTGTAGCAACGGCGTGTTCCTCGGCTGCACCTTCTGGTCGCCATGCAGTGGTCAAGGTACTTTGCCAGGGTGGACCGCAGGAAAACATGCATGCCCCAAAGCGCCGAGGCATCTGTTGCCTTTCGCTGCCATTTTGACAGCGCAGGAAACTGGGAAGGTCCACCTTTCACTGCTGACCCTACGAAATGCTCTCCGGAGAGAGTCACTGCTTGAACGCCTCGCCTCTCAGGCCTCAAGGGCAAATCTGAAAGCTTCGACACAGCAAAGGCCGAAATCGGAGGCACCTGAAAGCCTTTGCCTAGCCCCGTGACTGGACAGCAACACAGCAACACAGAAGGACTCGTCAGCACCAGGGCTCGCTCAATCTGCAACACTGTGCTGCCTGTCTTGGGTCTCTGACTGCGTGCGGGTTCCCAACCCACTTTCTCTCCAATCCAATCTGCCGCATTGATGCGCTGCACATGCTGAAATGCATAGCATGATAGCATCGTTGAAGGCCTTCAGGTTGCGGGCATTCTCCACGATCTTCTCGAACTTCTGCGTCACAAGTTCCAACCTGTCAGATCTCAGCTGACTGACATCTGAGGAGCCGAACTCAAAACTCCGGCGGTGCCACTGCTTTAGAAGCTCTTCTGGCGATGGGTTCTCCCTGAACTTGATCGTCTTTACGAGGGCCTGAGCAAAGAAGGGTCTTGCAAGCGACGAGTGCCCAGTCGCACCCTGTACCTGCGCAAACTGCTTGCCCATCACGTGCAAGGCGTCCATCTCGAAGTTCGAGTCGCCTACAGAGTTCCAGATTTCTGCTGCGAATGTCTTTCCCAGATCTGGGGAAGCGCCTACGGAAATCAGATTGGTGATGATCTCGTTATCTAGCTGCTTTTGCACCTCGGGAAGATTCGCGAGAATCAGCGGTAGAGGAGCAGAGGAAAGCAGCATGCCTCCAAGAAAGCATTTTCTTTCCACTTTCCCACCTGACATCACCGGTTCAGGAAATTCCGGATGCAGGAAGAAATATTTCCTGGACAGCTGTCCCATCGCACCTCTCCTGGAAATTCTGGCTCAAACTTGGTGCCTCTGGCGGATTTCGCAAGCAGGGATATGCAAACACATGCGCTCTGCAGCTCACAAACTCTAGTCCCGACTGTGAAGCGGGCGCGCAGAGATGACCCGAATTCTCTGAAGCACGTCCAACATGCCCGGAGCCTGCAGGGTCACAGCAGTTGAGAGCCCTTCCTTTCACAGGTGAAGTTGTCAGGGCGCAGGCCCACTTAGCCGCGCTGTACTCGACCCAACCGCTCATTGCATTCGTGATGATGAAGGTGTGGCCCTCGAACCACGGCACAGCTCATCGGGCACAGCCGGGACTTGGTTCCAGGCTGGGGCTCGCACCATGCGCTGGGCAAGTTGCAGAAGCTTCTTCGAAGCCGACTCGATTTCCTCTGCATTCCAAACTTGGAACAGCTAGGAGGCGAAAGTATGGCGAAAGTGCAAGGTAGCCTGGCCTTGAGGCATCGTTCCACGGCATGGGAGAGCCCATGCTCCTGCGAGCCCATGCCTTTGTGCCACCTTCTTCTCACGACATGACCGAAACCAACACAAGGCCCGATAGTCTGTGTCCGGATTCGTCACACCGATATGCGCGGTGCTTGGCTTGTACAAGGGACGTTTCTGCCAGTTTCGTTGTCAGGCCTTCGAGCTATAGTGGCCGAAGCTCCTAGAAACCTAGAAGCCTAAGCCCTTGCCCTCCTACGAACTGCCGATCTGCTGATACAGTGCTGCAACGTCTAGGTCCTGGCGGAGATTGAGAAATGATGTGCACAGAAGCGTGTCATCCCAGTCGAAGATGATCACCGTTTGATGCTGCGGTGACTTCTGCGCCTCACAGCAACAAAGAGAAGCAAGAGAAAGTGACGGGCAGCTCTCAGACAAAGCGCAGGCCTGTGGCACCCACACCTGTGAGTAGGAAAGCTTGCGGAGAAAGTTCACCCTGAAGTCGTCTTGACCTCCACGGAGCAGCTGTTGGACTCAGATGCAGTTCATGCTTGGTGCACCGGCTTGGCGCCCAACTCTTCAAGTCCAGTGCGTTCATCTCAAAATCCTCGCCCTGTGCGTGCAGCCCGAATGCAGCTTGAGCCCAGACAAGTACTGACGGTGCCGGACGCTGCCCCGCAGCAGTGGGCCTCTTTCTCACCCGATTCCTCTGGGTGCTGAAGCCTGTCCGGTGCCTCCCGAGTTGAAAATGAAAATCCTTCGCGGCAAGGGGGGGCCTCAGGAAAAGGCCTCAGCGGTGGCAGTCGGTGGAACGGGAGGCTGGTAGCCAGCAAACTTCCTGGCAGCGGAACTCCGGAGCTGGGAGGGCTTCCCGAGGGCCTTCTCTCACCGAGGAGCTCATGATCCTTCTGGATCCCCAAGCGGTGCAGGTAGTCCTGGTGTCAGCTCTTTCGCCGCGAAGCAGAAAGGCGGCGCTCCCAGCCTTTCGCCGACGGTTCACCTCCACTTCAGGCGGAGTGATGGGTGGAGCACCTGCGCGGAACATCACGCCATGCGAGAGAAAGGGAGCAGGAAGAAGGGACCGTCACCTTCTTCAACGTTCTGGGTTTGGCCCATGAGTCCTCAGCTCACCAAGCTGGCACGGTGAAAAAGAGACATCCAAATCTGCGGGAAAGTGACCCACTGCCCCAAAGTCTGGGTGTCCAATGGCGCTCGGGCCGCTCGAGGATTGCAAGATCTCTTGTCAAGCTTTTCAGCTTGCAGTTTTGCCAGTCTTGCAGGATTGTAGCTGACTGGAGCCTCAAAGCAAATTTTGTAGCAGCGACCATCCAATCTGGCTCCCAGATGTCCTGTGAGCCGAGATCTTTTGCAGATGAAATGTCTTCCTTGCGAGTGCGTTGGCCGTTCTGTAGACACTACCTTCGATGCGCTGTCAGTGCACTTGGGAGCTTCACGCTGCTCGATGCCCCCTGCTGTTCCGGAAAGGCGACCATTTCTTGCATGGGATAACAGAGAAGCTCCAGGTACTGCGAGCTGGTTAGCATGGGCGATGCGATCGTGCACCCGAGTCTGCTTTGGCACTCTGGACACGATTCAGGGGAGCGCTATCATTTCTGCGCCTGCGCAAGAGCTGCAGGCGCCAGGCGGCAGCTTCATATGAAGCAGTGGCGTCTGCCCCTGTCAAGGTCCCGAGTACTCCAAGTCACCATCCTGACACATTCCCGCCTTCGACCTTTGGCCCGCAGCTCCTGTCAAAGTTCCCCAAACCACCCGCAGCGCAGGCTCACCCTGCACGAGCTATCCCCCTGCCTTGCACATGCACAGGGAGAGCAGCACCGGAGAGCTGCTTAAGCCATCCGAGAGGACGCCATCCAAACCTGCCTTACGAGTAGCCATCTTTGGTCACGTGGCGCACCACACAGGACCTCAACAACCTTTTGGGCCGGTGCCGATCTCAAGTCCGGGTTGTTCATCAAGTAGCTCACTTGGGCAACTGCCTCGGAAAGCTGTCGCTCGCCCTTTGAACAGAACCGCCTCCATCTCTGTGGCCACCACATTCTGGGCAGAGTTCGTGGCCATTTGAGCCTGTGAATTGTTGCGAAGTTCTCTCCGAACGCTTGGCGAACCCGGGCCTGTTGTGAAGCATACTGCGCTGCCTGCGCTGCTCTGGATGCTGTGTACGCTGCCTGGCGGGAAAAGTAGCTGCTGGAACGTTATGCGAAGTGGCAATCGCGCGGACCTAACTAACGCAATGCATGTTGATGGCACGCTGCCATTCATGGTCTTCCAAACCCTTTTCAACACTTTGCCGTCCGCACGTGCCGAGCCCATTGCGATGCGGCCTCAGAAGCGGAACCGCGCAACAAAGAAAAAAAACATTGAGCAATTCAGGCTATACGCCTGCCTCCGCCATCTCGTTGGGAGGTGTAGCGGCACTGGGCGGAGTACCCTGCAGCACGCGATAGCAGCCAAGCTTTCAGCGGAAAACAAGCATATGAGAGGTTCTCTGGGTGTCCAACCCCTCCTCCACCTCCTGTTACGTCCGCTGCTCCTTGAAACGCCGTGTCCTCGCCAAGCCATGCATCAAACTTTCCACGGCTTTTGTTTCCGCTGCGTTGCTGAGGCGACAGCCAAAGGTATGTGAAAGCCCGACATGGCCTGAGTCCCTCGCAGCATGACTAATCCAAGCCTTTGCAGCTAGTGGGTGGGAATCTGTAATGCTTGAAACTTCTACATCCAGAAGCAACGTGCAAGACGTGGAACGATTGCACCTCTGATGCTTCTAGAGTCTACACAGCCAATGGCCTTTGAGCCACCACGACGAACTTGCAAGCTGGCAAGCGGAGACAACTTCCAAAAGAAATGCTGCTGAACTGCGTCTGGGTCACCTGTTCGTGAGATGTACCGATCGATCGTACACGAATCAGCGACGAACGAAGGTCGGGGATGCAAAAACTCGCGAAAAAAGTGTGCGGGACTGCTAGGGCTGGGATTGCTGAGCACTTTGTTCCGAGATTCTCTGCTCGGGCATTGTAAATGTAATTGTGGTACAGATGTTTGGTCGCTCTAGCTCTTTCCACTTCAGCACTGGATTATGTTCGGTTTCGTCCGTTGATGTGTTGCTTTGCGTGTTTCCATCGTTCGTTGTCCTCCCCGTCCTTTCCTACTGTACCCACACACAACCCACTGTCGCCGTCCCACTACCGAATGCTGAACAAAACTTCACAACAATCATGACAGTAATGCGATAGCCACTCCGGTAGGACCAAGGACCAAGGATAGACCACAAAAACCAAATGGATCACAAGAGACAGCTGACCCAAGACTAGAAACAGTCAGATGAGGAGAGTCAAAAGGAGGGTAAAAAGACCTTCGCAAAACACAACGGGCAGACCTGAGCTCTTGGTCGCGCCACCGGGCCCCCGGGCGCAGCACCCCGACTCCACACAGAAGCTCCTGGAAGAGAGGCCTGGGCCCTTCCCTGCAAACCTCCTGCAAATCGAATCAAGATGAAAAAAAAAACAGGTCGCAGAAGGAACTGGTCATGTGTGCAGGACCGAAGCCGCAGCCGTCTCTTGTAAGTACTACTCCAAGCTGGCTGCAGGGCGTAGCCTCATCTTCCAAAGAAGCTCGCCAATCACCAGCCCTGTATGACAGCTGAGAGGGTGCTACCTCCTCTGAGCCCGAGGTCCTGGAAGTCTCAGACTTATGACTCCAACTCGTCGCTTACCACTTCCAAACGTTTCGCTGAAAAGCTGGCAATAGGCTCAACTGCCAGCCGAGAACGCGGTATGGGACTTTGCATGTGTTTTGCCCTCGAAGGTTGCTTCTCGTTGTCCTTCCTCGTCTCCCGTTAAATCCCTCAATCTTCTTTGATTGAACATGGTCCGGCTGGGGAAGCCGAATCACTCGGTAGCACACCGCTACTCTTCCGGGGGGAAAGGCATGAAGCTTGTAAGAAAGTAGTATGCTTAAAAGTTTCAGGTCCTCCCTCCTGAATGGCCGGTCGCGAAAGGAGGCACCGGCCCAGTTTCTCAGTCGGTCTCTCTTGCGCGCTCTCACTACAGACTGCATCTACCACACTTTCCTTCTCGTGCAACTTAACACTGAGTGAAGTAGAAGGAAGGTTAAGGTTCATTAGCATTTCTATCGGCGCTGGCTGTGCAGTTCTGAAGCATTGCTGTCGGCATCATTTTTCAAGTTTCCACCCATCTGCTTGCAGTCTCCTGGCGTCTAGACTCGTGCTGCGACACCCTGCTCCTGAAGCGTCAGAAGCCACCCCCACCATTCACCTGCACAGCGCAGTTGGTCAAGCCTAAACCAGCCAGCGCACAAAGAAAGCAAGAGCCTCGCGGAGTGCTCATGCTGGGTCCGTTGAGGGCAACACCTCCTGCCATTGCATGTCACACCAACAGAGAGCGGCACCTTGCCCTCTGAATGACCCGAGAGAGCCTCTTCCAAGCCCAGCAGAGTTTGCAACTCCGACTTCCGCTCCTTGAACGAATTCAGACCCCTATGAATCGATAACCATGCACAGTTCTGCGCCTTCAGTTTCTTGATCTCTGCCTGAACCGTCTCGATCTGCGCAGGCATCAGTTCGCGTGAGACAGAGATCAACAACCGCCTTCCGCGCTGCAAACGGCTCTTTTCGCCGCTGCAAGATGCTGCGGCATGCTCGCCAAATCATACCAGAGATGACGGTTCTGCGACACATGGCGCAGCCGGCCATCGCTGGCCCACTCCGAGAAGACTCCACGCGGTGCGGCGGTGCTTCGACAGTCGGGTTAATACTCTTCGAGGGCCTTCGGGCAACTTGTGGAAGCTTGTCGCGGGGATCGTAGAGACACAGTGGCCACTGGCATCCGAGGTCAACGCCGAGCCTTCGGGGTCATCGGACGTGTGCGCAGGGTCACCGGAACGGATTGCCATTGCGTGCCTCCCGGAAAGGATTCCGGGAGTTGACCTGCACTGAGCATAGTAAGCACTACGCCACTACGCTAGTGTCACGACTAGTAAGAGAGCACAGCAAAATTGCAGAAGCAGCACCTGCTCCCTCCCCGAATTCCCGAATTCTTCCCGGCCTCCGCTTGTGATGTTGCACTGTGGGTAAACGGGTTTGAACCCTTTGCCAGCGACCCAGCCGCCGATGCAGCACCACTAACCCCGGCTTTAAGCCCAGAAGCCACCTTCGAGGTCACATGATGCTGCTGTTCGAAGTCTCGCGCCTTCGTGAAGGTAGCCCTTGCACCTTCGCCTATTTTGTCGGTGACCCCATATTTCTGATT